GTTCGCGCGGGCAACAACGACTATACCCCATCCAAAAAATGTGGACGCTGGGTGAACGGCGGGAAGCGGAATTGTCGGGGGGTGAAACGACCAAAAAAATTATGAAGCTGCGGGTATTTCTTCGCTTCTCGGAGTGCGGTTGAGTCGTTGGGGGACTTCGCCTGAAGGGCAATTTTTGAAGTTGCCTGGCAAGAAACACAGCGGCAAGGAGACCTAGGACCCCCGGTGTTTAAACGCACACCTCGAGAAATTCTTCAGAAAAAAGGGAGCGTGGGAGCAGTCGTAGCTTCGGGAACTGATCGACCGGCGACGAGCGATGCGGTGAAACATCTGCAAAGCGCTGGTGGGAGAAACGTGGGTTCTTGTTAAACAGCATCGGCGGGAGCAGTTTCGACTACGGAGTCAACGGCGTTGATGCCTCTAGGTTCCGTGAAATTTGGTCTCGGAATAACCCAGGGCAGTGACAAAATTAGAAGGAAGGAAGAGGATGGAACTAGCAAGAATGAGGATACAAATAGCAAACCCTAGAAGGGTTGTACTCGCTATAGAGGACCCCACTACAGGCTAGAACATAAGATAATATTCTGACACACCCCCATAGCCAAAGTGGGGTGTAATCAGCAGAGCAGGCAAAGCAATACAAGCTCAGGGTGGATCACAATGTCACCACACATTCTGAGCACAAGTTCAAGAAGAAATAGTTTAGAGTTCACAGTTATGAGCAAAGCTAGTGGTAGCCACAACGGGCAAGTGAGGAGGAGGAGGAGGGAGAGTGAGGGGAGAGGAGATAGGAGGCGACGGCTGAAGCTGCAGACACACGGGCAACAGGAGGCAGACTGGCACAGCGGCTACCGGACAGCGCCCGGACTACAGGAGTAACAGGCCCCGCGGCTAAAGTAGCGGCAGACGAGCAACGGACCCACAGGCGGCTAGCGTAGAAGTCTAGCTCACTGGGCTACCGAGACAGCGCCCCGGACTACAGGTGCTGCGGACAACAGTACGGCAACCTGCATGCAGCTTCCCCAAACAGTCCCACCCCCCCGACACACACCCGCTGCTACACCGCTAGCTCCACTCCCACGCACCCCCCTTAAACCCTAAACCCCAGTCTCCCACACAACCACCCCCCTCAGCGACAGCTGCAGCAGTGGGAGACGAAGGAGGAGGAGGAGCAAAGGGAGGAATGCATACCGACCACCCCCATACCCGCCACCCCACCGCAAGCGGCCCCCTCAGGTCGCCACGACAGACGACGGGAAATGGGGGGGGGGAGGAGGGGGGGGGGGGGGGGCGCGAAGTGGGGCGGCGGGGCCACGAAGTGGGGCGGCGGGGCCGCGACGGGTCGGTGGCGGGGCCGCGACCGGAGTTGGCGGGGCCACGACCGGAGTTGGCGGGGCCGCAACCGGAGGCGGCTGGGCCGCGACGTGAGGCAGCAGGGCCGCTACCGGAGGTGGCGGGGCCGCGACGAGTCGGTGGCGGGGCAGCGACGGGCCGGTGGCGGGGCCGCGACCGAAGGTTGCGGGGCCGCGAGAGTGGGGCGGCGGGGCCGCGACGGGTCCCCGTCGCCCGTCGCGACGCCTCCAGAGCGGGACGCGGCGAACGCCGCGGCAGAAGCCCGCCGCGCGCCTCGGGGCGCACAGCGGGCAGAGAACCGCCGCACGCCTCGGGGCGCACGGCGGGCAGAAAACCGCCGCGCGCCACGGGGCGCACGGCGGGCAGAAAACCGCCGCGCGCCTCGGGGCGCACGGCGGGAGGAAAAAAGTAGTAGCGGAAGCGAGGTGGTAACCCACCCATAGGATCGATCCAAGGGGATTGACCTGCTCTGATAGCATGACAAAATTAGAAGGAAGGAAGAGGATGGAACTAGCAAGAATGAGGATACAAATAGCAAACCCTAGAAGGGTTGTACTCGCTATAGAGCACCCCACTACAGGCTAGAACATAAGATAATATTCTGACAGGCAGTCCCCGGTTCTCGATTGAACCCACATGCTGGGGTCGGGTAACCGACGGAAACTGATGGTGACCGAGTGGGCGGCTATAGCACGTCCGAGATTTTCGGAGGAGAACTGCACCTGCAACTCCGGATTTACGGGGTTTTATTCGAGCGACTATTTCAGAGTTTTTACGTGGGGACTTACTGGTTTTACGGCAAAGAGCGCCGACAATTTCGGAGGAGCATTCGGCGTTTGGCTAAACGCGCGCGACATTTACGTGGGGCAACAGCGCGGGAACTACACGGATGTTTTCAGGGGTACGAACGACTTACGACGAACTGAAGAAGGCGGCATCAACAGTGAAGGGGTGGGAGAGACAGCTGCAATTTTTCATCTCTGCCCAGGAGCCCTCGGCGCATTGCGACAAACTTCTCGGCGAGTCTGGACAACACCGCTGGAGGTGCTGACATCATCTGACACGGGACTGGCGTTCGACATCAATTTCGGAGTGACATTCGATTTCGGTTACTGCTTCAACGAATTTCGCCGACGCTCGTATTTGACTTTACGACGAATCGCCTTCACCGACGACCTTTCGTACCAACCCCGACTTCACGGCCAGAGGATTTCGGGATACAGCCGCTCCAACTCTACTAGCGATAAATCCATCCACTCGACCCGCCCACGACAACTGCATTGATTTCAAACACGTCAGGTGCTGCCAGCTGCATCAGCTGAAGATACTGAATGATTCTGGCGTGTGAAGACAAAAACAGGTTCAGTTCGAGCAACGCATAATTTCTGCCGCGGTTTCTGGTCTACTTACGCGGGTTCGCCCTTGAAGACTTTTTGGGGCATGTAAACCTGGGTTCGCCATCGACATCTCCACACCGACCACATATCGCCTTGTCAGAGGTCCACTGGTGATCCCCGATTGATCCTAGGGAAGGGTTACAGGCATGTTGGCCTGGGGGGTTATGGGCGCACTGACCCGCTACTTAACAAGCCCTTTTATCCCAATGGTCTAGTGGTTGGGATTCTGACGCGCCTGGACTTTTACATCCGACGCTCTTATTCGTGGGACTTAACGCCTGGCTTTTTGTTGGTTTTCATCTCGGCGCAGCAGTGAAACATTTTCTGGTGTCTTTTATTGGAGGGGGGGAGAAGTGCGCTGCACTGCTCTTTCCTTGGCGTTTTTCTCGGTCCTTTCTAACTTTGTCAGGTTGCGTCAGCACGACGGACGACCGCGATCACACCGACAAGATCGACGGCTTCTGCTACATCGCGATTGAATTTCGCGTCTGCAGTTTCCCTCCACATCCGCGACATCTTCGACCGTCAGATCTACATTTTCTCGATCAACGGCCCACATTCCAACCTCTACTTCATATTGGGCCAGTTCATATTCGACCGTCAGATCGAAATCGTACTTCATCAACGGCCTACATTCCAACCTTTTCAAAAAATTGTGAAAGGCATTTCAGCCGTCGGATTCAGCTGAAAGGGAGATCTACGGCATCCTCGCTAGTGTGGGGTCTGTTTTCAGTACAGGGCTGCCTTATTTAGAAGGTGGGAGAGTGTAAGGATTTACTAATCCTTACTGAGGCACTCGTTAGCGAGGCCATCCCGAGGGTCACGCGACGAACCTGGCCTTCCTATTTCGTCGCACCGAGCCACTCCCGAGTCGGCCTCCGCTCCAATCGCAACCATCACCGAGCCATCCCATCCCGAACCCCCGCCTAGCTAGCCTTTCCCCTATTTAGGCCTCGGCATTCCCATTGTATGGGCATTCTGTAATTCTCATTCTCGATATTCGATATTCCGCGCACTTTGCAAGTTCATTCATAACAGCTAGAGGAGTGTTCGGGTTTGGCACACGCGCCACGATATCGTCCAGGTCGATAACTTCAAGGCGCCTGGAAGCGGCCGGATCAACGGCAGCACGCCGACGCCGCTGAGGTGCGGGTGCGCGGACCGGTGCAGCGACAAATGCGGGAGTAGAGGTTGCTGGAGTGGTAGCATATGTCGTCGTCTGCACCTAGAGGAGTGTTCGGGTTTGGCACTCGCGCCACGATATCGTCCAGGTCGATAACTTCAAGGCGCCTGGAAGCGGCCGGATCAACGGCAGCACGCCGACGCCGCTGAGGTGCGGGTGCGCGGACCGGTGCAGCGACAGATGCAGGAGTAGAGGCTGCTGGAGTGGTAGCATCTGCCGGTGTGGCAGAGCCATGGGCACTAGTGTTGCCATTTGTCATGTCGAATGGACTTTGCGTAGACAGTACACAAGTCTTGAAGAAGGGTGGTATATTTGAATGTATCAAGTGCCTTCCACTCCCAGAGGATTTCAAAGACATTTGGTGCGGGGGACGTGGATTGGGCAAGGGCGGGAGTTTCTTTGACTGACGTCAAGACGGGCGGGACGCATTGCCACATCGTGCTCGAACGTGCCACGATGCTGGACACGTGGCTACCACTGTGTGCACGAAGTGTGGGGTGTCTTCGTTGTGCAACTTCATGCACTGGCAAAGCGCTCGCCTGTTTCGCCAGCTGTTCGGACGTGCTGCAAATCACACATGCTCGCATGAACGTGCGCACGCACGTTCCCGCCTCCGACTCGAGTCAAGTTCATATTTCAAACTCGAACTTTTACAGAGCCCATACAATGCTTCGTTCGCGAAGCACCCTTCACGAAATTAGCGAATAGGGTAACCACCCAAAGTTAAAACTTTATTTTGGACTTCTAAACAGACCACACGCTCCCTTATCAACCCAAACATCCTGCTTTGCAATTTGTACTGTGTGGTCGTTGGGTGGGGTTTCCGAAATGTTCGCGACATTCGCCTTCGGTGACACCCCTGGTTCGCTCGTCTATGGTGAGTGCTCCACGGTTACTGTGCTGCGATCTACCTTCCCCACTGAAGGAGCAATCCCATCCCTAACCGATCTGCAAACGTCGTCCCTCTGCACCGCTTCATGCATGATCATGGCGAGGAAGCTCTCCCTACTTTCTCGCCGCGGACCACTCTTGCCGTTTCATGCTCAACAGAATCTTGCGATCACCTTATGGCGGCTAATTTTCGTAGTGTTCACGACGAGTCCCTTAAAGCCCGCCCCTCGCCGATCAACTACTACTCGCGCTACATCCTCTCCTTCTTTCTTGGCTCTGTCTTCGCTGTCTTCGTTGTCTTCTCCACCACACAACTCTCTCCGCTAAGCGTCACCTTCGCCAATTCACCCCTCCTCCTCCCCGCCTATACACACCTTGGTGCTTCTGCTAGCACTGGTAGCAATAGTTCCGCCGACCGCGCCTCGCTCCATCACGTGTGCTGGTGGTCCGGCGACCACGGCGGCTACACCGCCGACTCCCCCAATGCGCCGTGGCTGGTGGAGCGCGGGGAGGGGGAGGCGGAGCGGCGAGTGCCGGGGGGCGTGGTTGTTGTCGGGGAGGACTGCGCGCGGTGCGCGGCGGGGCGGCTGTGCAGTTTCACGATAGCGGTGCATCGTCCCGCGCACTGGGACGTGCCGCGGTACTCGGCGTTCAAAGGCGAGCTGCTCGTGTCGCTGCACGGGCCCGCCACGCTGCAGGCGCGCGTCGCGCGCGTCGATAACGACCCGCGGCGCATGCTCGTGACGTACCGCGCGTGGGACGCGGGGGAGTACACGTGAGTGTGCGCGCAAGGGGACGGAAGGGGGAGAGGAAGAACGAATTAGTAGCGGTGATGGGCGGATTGGGCCAAGGTAGCGACACCCCCCCGCTGATGACGCGTAGGTTGAACGCCGTTCACTGCGGCAAGATAGAATGGAAGCGCACCGTTGTGCGCTGATTGGCGCCAACCGGAACCCGAGATCCTGGTTGTGCGCTGATCCGAGATCCCGAAGCTAACTCGAAACCATCGTGACGCGAGAAACAGTTCCGAAACCGCGCGCGCGAGAGTGGCTTTTCGGAACTATGTGCGACCCGTCGACTTAAAATACGTCTGCCTTGAGTGCCGAATCTAACTTCCAAACCCATCCACGGGCACGAGGATGGGCGTTTACGCGATGTCTCCCAATTCCGAACCAAGAACCGTGAAACCTCGATGCATTCTGGGAAGTCTGGGTTCAGTGCGGTGTGGCGGGGTGATGCCGCGGTGCGTGGTAATGCGGGCCTTGTATGCGCCAGCGTTGTTGAACTGGAAGATCTGACATGGCGGATGGCACGCGAGAGGGGCACAGGGCCGGGTAATCCTCTTCTGTGTTAGGCGGCGGCACTAACACCCATTGTGCTTCCTGCCGATCCCTCCGGCATCCTAGCGTTGTGCAACAAGGGCGCCAGAATGGCGTTGGGGCTGTTCTGAGAATTTCACAAAATCAGCTCGAATAACAGACATTGGCGCTTGTATCTCGCCAATATCTGGGGGGACACGTTGTTTCGGATGGCGCTGCACCCACTTCCCCATAAGCACTTCCCTCACATTTTCTGCTGCCGTTTATTGCACCCCTCGCCCTCCTCTGCTCTCACTTATCCTCCCTCTTTTCCCCCTCTCTCTCCCATTCCCTCCTTACCAGTCTTCTCCCTCTCCTTACCCACCTCCTCTCTTCCCTTCTCTCTATCTCTCGTTCCTCTTCTTTTCTCCACCTTCCCTCCCGCACTTCTCCCCTTCCTCTCCCCCCTTTTCCCACTCCCCACTTCCCCGACTCTTCATTTGCCTCACTTTCCTGTCCTATCTCCCCCACCCCTCTCTCCTCCCTCTCCCCCCCACCCCTCTCTCCTCCCTCTCCCCCCCACCCCTCCCCTGCGCGTGCCCTTGCAGTGTGGTGGTGCGGGACTCATGCGGCACGCTCAACTACTCCTCGCAGCACTACCATCACACGCACAACATCGCCAACTGGACGCTCCTCATCGCCCCCACCCCCCCTGCCGCCTTCGACTCCCTCCCGCCCCCTGATGCTGCCCTAGCAGTGGGCGTGGGTGGGGGGGAGGTGAGTGGGGGTGCGGCGCAGGGCGCAGGAGCGGGGGGCAGCGAGGGGCAGGGCATGGGGGGAGTGGAGAGCGAGGCGGAGTGGTGTGCGTCGCCGTGCGGGCAGGGGGACATGGGCCGGTGGCTGCTCAACGACAGTGACTACAGGTGGGCGTGCGTGGGGGGGCCAAGGGGCCAAGGAGTGGGGTTGGTGGAAGGCGGGGGGAGGGGAGGGTTGAATGCAGCCGAAGGTTGTGGTGGGAGGACTTGATGGAGCGCATCCAAAGCCTGCTGCTATCAAGTGGTGTGCGTCCACCACAGTGCCGCTACACCCTGCCATGGTCCCGCAGCAATGTGATTCCCTCCACCTCGTCTTTGCATGCACTCTCCTCATATTCGCCTCACAATTTTCCCATCTTTTCGCATTCATATCCTTCAGCCCCTAAACCTTGACCCCATCATCTTTCCTTCCTTCCCACCACTCACCCCCCTTACCCCTCCTTCCTTTCCCCCTTCCCTTTTCCCTGCACCAGGTGGGTGCCGTACCCATGCGCGGCCCCCATTCCGCCCGCCTCGGAGTGGGTGTCAACCCTGGTGGCGCGGGGGTTCCGCGAGGTGAGCTTTGTGGGCGACAGCCACCAGCGCTTCCTCTTCCTGCACCTGCTCTTCCTGCTCTCGCACCACGTCAACACGTCCTTCATCAAGAGCCACAGCGATATCAGCTACCTGGTGGGCGGCACAGGCCACGTGCGCATGCTGCACGGCGGCCCCGAGGAGGCGGTGAGCGAGGAGGAGCGTGCGAGCATGCCGCTGAAGCTCAACTTCTACTGGGTGGATGGCATCTACGAGAACGGCCACTATGGCTGCACGTACGTGCTGTGCTGCTGCCAGTGCTGGTCTTGGTTGGACTAATCACGCCTTGAAGCGTTGATCCCTTTCACCTGCGCTCACCCTGGACTATTCATGCCCATGTGTGTCGACATGTTTGTACTCTTTGCACTGCACCATATGTCAGTGTCTGTCAATTTGCACCCCAAGCCTCGTCTAGATCTCCCAAGCCCACGAGTCCTTTCGAGCCCACGTGCTTTGATCCACACCACCCGCAAATCTTCCCTGGTGGCACTTCCCCCCCTCCCCGCCCGTCACTTTCCCCCCTCCCCCCCCGCCACTTTCCCCCCTCCCCGCCACTTTCCCCCCTCCCCGTCACTTTCCCCCCTTCTCCACCGTCATCTCGCAGCAACCGCGGGCGCTTCTCAGAGCGCGAGCACAGCTTCCCAGCCATCTCCACCACGGCGGACGTCACCATCTTCAACGGCGGCTTCTGGACCGCCGCCTTCTGTGAGCACGCGGAGCGCGCCCTCGGAGTGTACCTGCCGCCCTACCTCGAGTGGGCCTTCTTCCAGCTCGAGCGCACGCAGAACCAGAGGGCCAAGTGGCGCGCACAGAGAAAGAAGGAAAGGGAGGGCAACGGGGGGAAGGGCGGCGCGGAGGAGGCGGATAGTGGTGGACCGTTTCTGGTGTACCGCAGCATTCCCCCGCTGCGCACGCAGTACCAGTGCAAGCAGGGCACGAACGCCCAAATAGCACACATGAACGAGGTGGTGCAGGGGCAGCTGGAGCGGTACGGGTTCCAGTGGCTCAACATGTGGCCTGTGGAGCTGCCGCGGTTCTCAGACACGTGCAATGGGAATGACCCCCACTTCACGTGCTTCACACCCGCTGAGAACCCCCATGGCGATGGGGTGCTCACAGGGCCTGTTGGGGAGGCTGCAGTGTACAGGGCAGTTCACTTTATTCTAAATGAACTCATAAGATAACGGTTTGTGTATATGGTGGTCTATGGTTTCGGGTTTAGGCTGCTGACACAGAATGTAATTTGTGTAAGATTCCTTCACGTATGGTACACGTAGCATAATATCAATGTGCCGCAACACAACACGTATACAGTGAGCCTTCAACCACCAGCACAGCCGGGTGCAACTAACGGCACATTTGCGCGTGCCTGCTAACACTAAATCAAAACGAACTCCCCCCCCTAGCGCGTGCGCCCTCGATCCACGGTTGCAACTCTTTACGCGTATCAACAGCCAGAAAGTCTGAAACACGGGTGGTGCTGGCCCCTCCTAGGAACGCAAACACTGGTGCAGGGATAACCGGCCCAAGCATTCCCTGCTGGTCTGATGGGGCCAACTCTTGCTGCTGAGATGATAAGGTGAACACATTGTGGTGGGCCGGTGCCACTCCACACATTGAACCAGGAGAGTCGGTGAGGTTCGTATCACCGCTGTGTGAGCTGACTTGTTGCTGTGCATCCCACGTTGCTCCACACGCCCTCACCTTATCCCCACACGCCATCAGCTGCTCCCCACATGGCCTCGCCTCACCCCCACGTGACTCGTGTGTCGCCATGATCTGCTGGCGCTTGGATTTAGCAACAGCAGCAGGAGAGGTCAAGAGGGGCCCAGAGGGGACTTGACACGTGTATGTGAGATAACCACCCATCTCATTCGCCGGCCCATTATCACCCAAGATGCCGCTTCTGGCGCTGCGTGCTGCCACATGATTCTCAATAGCCCTTTCACCCAGCCTATGATTCTTCTCCCCAGTACTGTGGCTTGTGCGTTTTGCCATCCTGTGAGTACCCCTTCCCCCCATCCTGCTACGCAACCCCATGCTGCTGCTGCTGCAAGTGGGTGTTCCTGGCCCCACCACCACCCCACTCGAGCCTCGCTGCATCACACCCCCACCAGCATCCCCGCCTCTCTCTGTTCCCTCCACCGCATCCCCATCCACGCCACGGTCCACAGTGCTCAAATCAAGGGGCGGCAGAAAGGCATCAGTAGTGGGGTCATGAATGGGATGCGTGCAGGGCTGAGAGGCAGGAGTCTGAGGGGCAGGCAGAGCAGCACATGCAGGCATGGCAAAGCTTTGACGCTCCTCACTAGCCATGGCAAGAGCGTGATGCAGGCCGGGCCGAGTGGCAGGAGCCTGGAAAGCAGGCAGAGCGGCAGGTGCAGGCATGGCAGAGGCGAGTCGCTTGGCGCGTGTGGTGCATGGCACGGAGCATGAGAGAGTGAGCAGGATCATGTTCAGTTGCCGCTGCCCCTGCTGCTCCTGCAGCACCCATGGCAGCTGCTCTTTCTGCGGTTCCCTTATTTGCTCCTCGTGATGCAGTTGCTGCAGATGACGCTTCTGCTGCTGCAGCTCTTGCTGCTGTCGATCGTGTTTCTTGCAGGAGGAGAGGCCAGCAAAAGGAATCACAGAGCCTGCAGCAGCAAGGGCAGCACAATCACCCACATGCCTATTCTTGGCAGCCGTGTAACAACCATACTCAGTGACATCAGGGTTTGCATCAGAATTGTCAGCACTCGATGCTGCAACCCCCGAATGATGCCCACTGCAGGCTGTAACGCCCTGCTTACACCCACTCGGTGTTACACGAGTGGTTACCACGCCCACCTCATGCGGAAACTCATCAATGACATCCTGGCTCATGGAACTGCTTTCCTTTGCTCCCACTGTGTGCGGCGAGCTGAAAGTGCCATGCATGTTTCCCAGGTGGGAGTCGAGGGGGAAGTTGAGGGGGGAGACAACGGGGTAACTGAGGGGGGAACCAAGGGAGGACTCTAGCGAGTTGTGGCGCAAGGCCACAGATTCATAGCCCTCTGCGTGCTTCTCCACACCCAGGAGAGTGCGTGGCAATGCGAGGGAGTGACACATGCCCGCGCAGACACAGCCCTCTGTGTGTATCTCCGCGCCCAGGCATTCACTGCGCCATGCGAGGGGGTCACACACGCCCGCCCATTCCGCCTCAGGCTGCTGCTGCTGCTGCTGCTGCTGCTGCTGCTGCTGCTGCTGCTGCTGCTGCTGCTGCTGCTGCTGCTGCTGCTGCTGCTGCTGCTGCTGCTGCTGCTGCTGCTGCTGCTGCTGCTGCTGCTGCTGCTGCTGCTGCTGCTGCTGCTGCTGCTGCTGCTGCTGCTGTTGCTGCTGTTGCTGGGCCCCATCGCTGACGTGGCACTTGTTGAATGACACGGGCACAGCGAGCCCCCTGGATGAATCTATAATCACTGCCGAAGCTTGATGAGCAGGAGCAGAAACAGCTACAGCCGGACCAGCAGCGGAGTGCACAAGCACTAAACCAGCCGGGTGGGTGGGCACAGCCGGGTGGGTCGGCGTAGCTGGGTGGGTGCGTATAGACATGTAACTGACTGGAATCGGTTGGCCAGGCCAACGCTCCGGCCGAGCACCAGAGTAGTTGGTGAGATTCGGGCTGTTGGTTGGACTAGGATGGTTGACAGGACTAGTGAAAATGGTGCGACGGGTGTGGTTGACACGACTCGCGTGGTTGGCACGACTCGCGTGGTTGGCACGACTCGCGTGGTTGACACGACTCGCGTGGTTGGGAGGCGCGCGGTGGTTGTGGGGGGTGCAGCTGTAGGCGACTTGGATGGCGCTGGGGGAGAGCGGGTCATGGCAGCAGTTGATGTCGACAGTCTTCTTGGCAGGGCAGCGTGGCATGGCCTTGGAGCGACTGCACCTGTAGTAGCACCTGGTGTAGTGATGTGGTGAAGGGAGAGTGCAGGGTGAGGAGTCAAACAGGGGAGGACAAATTTTAACGAGATGGTGAGAGCGTGGACTCAGCACCAATGGGCTGATGATACACGGAGAATCTGGATTAACGGGAAGCTGACGCGAGTCACCAGAAGTCAACACAAGTCAACAGAGGTCAGTGCAGGTCAACTAAAGTCAGCGCAGGTCAACTGAAGTTACTGAAGTCAGCGCAGGTCAACTGAAGTCAGCGCAGGTCAACTAAAGTCAGCGCAGGTCAACTGAAGTCAGCGCAGGTCAACAGACGTGGGCGAGGGTGAAGCAAGGAGGCAGACCTGGTGGCGTTGGAGTGGTGCACTTGCTTCTGGCCGTACTTGAGCCACCTGTGCCCATCTGACCCCACCACCCGCGCCACCATCACCTCCCACCCCCGCCGCCCCGCCCGCTGCCGAGAAGTACCCAGCTCCTGGGGGGCATCACCCAATTCCGGCTGAGATTCACCGAGCTTCTGCGGGGCATCACCTAACTTTTGATGGCAATTGCCCAACTGTTGCTTGGGTCCAGCCAGAGTCTGTTTGTCTTCCGCAGCAGCAGCAGCAGCAGCAGCAGCAGCAGCAGCAGCAGGGAGGGCGGCGTGCTCCTGGGCAACTGCTGTGAACACCATCCTCGTCACCAGCACCATGATCTTGGGAAACAACGCGCGCACGCCTTAATCTGCTTCACGAGAAAACTTAATGCTTTTACAATCCCAGAGAAAAGGGTGAGGGGAAATGTGTTGGTAGGAGCGCTGCAAAAACTAGGATATTCAGGGGGATGGGGAAGTGGTGGGGGAGCGGTAGGGGGAATATAAGGGGATATGTACAGGGAACCCAGGGGGAGCAGTAGAATGAACGGAAGAAGGAACGGTATTTGGGGGAACAGTAGGGGGGACAGAGGAAGGAACGGAAGGAAGAAGTGTAGGGGGAACAGGGCACGGAAGAAGAAGGGGACGGTATAAATCACCGCGTTGCTCCTGCTGCGTCGTCGCTGCTTCTCCAAATTTCAAGTGCACAGCTCGAAAGACATTAGCAATAGGGTTTCAGGAGGGGAAGGATCAGGGTGATAGGGTCTCGGGCCGTCTATTGTGGGTGCTTGCGACGGAAAACACTCTAACATTGGTGCTTTCCAAGGTGAAAGATGCGCCTCGGATGAGGAGGAATGAGAGCAGCCGCAAGAGACCAGACGAGTTTTAGTTAGACCCTCAAAGCCCTCAGAAGCCCGACTTGCGAAGTCGGAGGAGGAGGATGAGCAGCGCAGCAAGATTGAGCGTACTACAGAAACAGAGCTGGTGGTATTCGTAACCGTTGTCTATTTCTAGGCGCCTCAGCATGAACGCCGTGTTCTGATGATGCCGCATCTGGCTACAACTTGTAGCCCAACCAAGGCTGCAACTGTTGAAGAACTGGACAGATACTAGCGACAAAACCGCTGGGGTGTGACGGAGACGGGTGCGTGCTGGAATCGTGGATGCGGAGTTACCTCATCATGCGAGATTGGGAGGTACAGACGGCACAGCAGCCGTAGCAGCACGCAAGGGCGGCGTAGTTCGCTTCGCGAAGTCTCGGATACCATGAAACTCGCAAACAAATTTCGCCGAAGTCTTGAGAACGTGGGAGGTGCTATGAGGCGCTTAAATAACATGAGATGCGAAGGAACGGAGAGGGCAACTCGCCCAGGTCCATTCTTGGCGCTGCTGGTGGTGGTTCGCGCCTGAAATGCATATGTAACGCCTGCGGGCTGACAGGATTCACAAATCGGGCGAAACCCTAGACTCATCAGGGGTTCGATTCGGACCCAAAAGACGCCCTGGAGTGAGGAGCACAGCAGCAGCAGGGCTAGTCGGACTCGCAAGAAAAATATCCCGTCCCCGTTATTGACTAGCCCGACTGACTCAGTCGTCACGTTAGTCGTCAGAACACCGCTACTAGGAAGTTTCACTGGCCACAAGAGGTCGGTCGGTACATGTACCTTGATAGAAGGAGATACTAAAGTCGGTACGTGATAACAGTAGATAGCCATAGAACCTGATTGGAGACAGTCTCTGGCTCTCCGCAAAGCCAGGAAAAGCTTGTGGCGTGGCGTCACGTCTAGACTTGTAGCATGACTGCACAGTACGGCGCGTAAAATGCCCGGAGCATATAGACCAGTGATTGTAACGGTATGGTTAGGCAACACTTGCGGGTGATTTCCTATCCCCGTGGCGCTTGTCATCCGTGAAAATGGTACTGTAATGATTTCTGTCATGTGACGTCAACTGTCATCCCTGCGTGTACAGTACTGGCAGGTCAAGGAGACACCAGCAAGTCCTGTCGTGTTCCGCCTTTTCGACTGTGCTGTACTCCGATATAGGCCAGTGATTAGGCGGCTAGCGGAGACTTGACAAGGAATTGACTGTTGTCAGGCTGGCTCAGGGCGGACGTTGTTCCGGCTCGTCTTTTTCATCGACCTCGAAACCTCTAGGAACTGCGTTCATGCACAACACCAAAGGACGCCATACAAGTCGAGCAGAACTACAGACGAGCAGAATGAGGGACTGCCTCCTAAGAATGTCAATGGTTCTGAATCTGATCACTTGCCGCAAATGCTGCTACAAACCCCTTCTCAACTCCCACGGCACAGAGGTTGTACTCACCCCCCGTGCACAACTCCGAAAGTTTGTGCACTCCTCCTAAATCCGCTAAAGATTAGCGGGGTCGACTTAGTCATGATGAAACGCGGCAAAAGACTTCGGGAAAAGGTGTTATGAATGAGCTTGCAGAGTGCGCAGAATAACTAATAACGAGACTGAAATTATTGAGTGACAATACAATGAAAGTGACAAACGCGTCAAATGGTTAGGCGTACATGTTGTCAAAATTAAATGTTGCATGTTTCGTAGGCTGTAGTGGGGTAGCCCATATGGGGTACAACCCAATATAGGGTTAGTACTTGTACCCATCCTGATGCTGTTCATTCATTCCTGCTCGTTAGTTTCTGACATGGTTTCAGAGCAGTAGGTCCGTAGGACCTTTTTTTTTTTTTTGGGCCCACCATTAGCTAGTGACCGATTGCAGTTACCGGCTACCCCACGCCCTGCCCTGCGTTGCGCCGTCAGCGCGCGGCCTGCCCTGCCCTGCCTTGCGTCGCGCTGCCCCGCGCACGCACTGCACTGCCCCGCGTCGCGCTGCCTCGCGCACGCCCTGCCCTGCCCCGCGCACGCACGCCATACCCCCTGTCGCGCCGCCCCTACAGCCCGCGCGCCGCCCCTGCAGCCCGCGCGTCGCCCTTTGCAGCCCGCGCGCCGCCTCTGCAGCCCGCGCGCCGCCCATGCAGCCCAGCGCGCCCCGCTGCCCAGCGTGCCCTGTTACCCAGCGCGCCAGCGCGCCCTGCTGCCCAGCGCGCCCCGCTGCCCAGTACGCTAGCGCGCCCCGCTGCCCAGCGCACCCTGCTGCCCACTGCGCTAACGCGCCCTGCTGTCAGACGCACCACCACGCCCCGCTGCCCAGCGTGCCAGCGCGCCCCGCTGCCCAGCGCGCCAACGCGCCCCGCTGCCCAGCGCGCCCCGCTGCCCAGCGCGCCCTACTGCCCAGCCCCCAGCGTGCCCCGCTGCCCAGCGCCCAGCGCGCCCTGCTAAACCCTAAAAAAAAAAAAAAAAAAAAAAAAAGAGCCCTAGGTGCTGCCCTTGCTTGCCCGAGCGCCGCCTTGCTGGCCGCGCGCCGACCCTGGCTGCAGCGCGCCGCCCTACTCTGGTCGCGCGTCGCTCTTCCCTGACCGTGCGCTGCCCCGACCTACCCTAGTGCCTGCTCGCCGCCCTGCCTTCCCTTCGTGCTGCCCTACTGGTCACGCGCCTCCTTGCTTGCCCGCTATGACTTCTCTTTGTAGTAGCGGTGGGAGTGGTGGCGGCGGTGGTGCCAGCAATGGGACTGGTGACGGCCGTAGTAGCAGTCGCTGTGGAGCTGTTCGGTGGAGAGTTTCTGGCGGTGGCCAGATGCAGCTGCAGCGGCGTCCGTGCGAGACCTTTTCGCCCTAGCAGCTACGTGAGTGGTACGCTCGTAGGAGTGGTGGCGGCGGTAGTAGTGGCAGTCGCTGTGCAGCTGTTTAGTCGGGAGCTTCTGGTGGTGGCCTGGTGCAGCTGCAGCGGCGTCCGTGCGAGACCCTTACGCCCCAGCAGCTTCGTGAGTAGTACGCTCAGCGTGGGGCGTCTTGGAGTAGTGCTCGCTGCCCGTACGTCATTCGCACATGTGATCGGGCTGGTCACACTTGTGGGACAGTTGGTCACACACAGTCCCACTGCTTCTCCTGTCTGAGCGCGTGCAGAGTTTGGCGACGCGGCTGAGCTCCCTCGCTGACTTAGGTGCTTCCCGCTGTTTCTTTCGCGATAGTACCACAGTCACACCACTCCCTGCACCTGTTGCTGTCACACTGGCTGACCCCTCAGGGGGCCCCGTTCTTGCCCGTTCCTCGACTGTTCTCCCGTGTCCGGCGGTTCCGTCCGGCTCACTCTCAGGTCTGCACCTCCCCTCGTTCTCTACAAACTTGGTGAGTACCGCTACCCTCCAGGATGCAATGGTCATTACCACCACTCCTGGGGGTCAGCGTGTGTCGATCTGCACGTGTACACAGACGGGCCATCACCTGGCCACGTTCACCCGTCGGCCTGGGTCGAGTCTGTACACACTGACTACTAAGCCTCCTCGGGTAGCTGCGTCAGCGTCTGCGTCAGGTCACCTTGCCGCCCCTTGCTCGCGTCGCGCCCTGTCGCACCAGACTCTCCTTTGGCACCACCGCCTTGGTCACCCCTCCCTGCCATGCCTCCGTGGCATGCACTCCCGTCTCCTTGTCTCTAGTCTTCCCAGGTCTCTGCTTCCCCTCCTACCCTCGCCTGCCCCTCCCTACCTTCCCTGTGTCAAGGGGCGACAGCGCGCCGCTCCTCACTCCTCATTTCCCCCACGACTGCTCCCCTGCAGACTCTCCACATGGACATATGGGGCCCAGCCCGCGTCCGTGGACAGGGCCGCAAGCGATAATTTCTAGTGGTTGTTGATGACTACTCGTGTTATACCACGGTATTCCCATTGCGTAGCAAGGGGGAGGTCCCTGGTGTTTTGATCACTTGGATCCGCACTGTCCATCTCCAGCTCCGTGAGCAGTTCAACACGGACCTTTCCGTCATGCGTCTACACTCTGACAGAGGTGGTGAGTTCGCCTCTGACCTCTTGCGGGAATTTTATCGTGGGGAGGGCATTCGCCAGTCGTTCACGCTTCCAGCCTCTCCGCAGCAGAATGGGGTTGCTGAGCGCCGCATTGGCTTAGTCATGGAGGTCGCTCGTACCTCCATGATCCATGCGGCTGCCCCCAATTTTCTGTGGCCGTTTGCGGTCCTGTACGCTGCGCATCAGCTCAACCTTTGGCCACGTGTATCCTTGCCGGAGACCTCGCCGACACTGCGTTGGATAGGAGAGGTTGGCGATGCGTCGGTGTTCCAGGTCTGGGAATTTTGTGCCTTTATCCGCGATACCTCTGCGGACAAGCTCTCCTCCCTCGTCATTCCCTGTGTCTTCCTTGGCTTTCCCGCTGATTCGCCTGGCTGGCAGTTTTACCGCACCACCCCTCGTTGTGTCCTGCCCTCTCAGGACGTTACGTTTGACAAGTCGGTTCCCTTTT